CCATCCAAGTGACTCCTTTGATTACTCAAAGAAACAATTACTAACTGGAGTCTGCAAGCTTAATTAACTAACTAATTTTTGCAAAATAAGGCCCATATTCCTTCTTTTCTTAGGTCATTTTTAATAACCGTATTCCATTTCAAATTTTTTTATAAATCTGATGATAGGAAACCAACAGGAAATAATATCTAATTTGCTATTTTAAAATTAATTTGATAATTTTTTCCTTCCTCACTGCTGCCTCTTCTCACTCACTTTTATTCTTTCTAAGTCCACATACTTACTTTTTATTATGAAATGTACTATCATACAGAAGTTGGAATATCTATTCAGAAGTAAGTCTATTGTAGAAATCCCCCTACACATCAGCAGTTAGGACAGTGGCTCCCAACCCATCATTGTCCCTTTTGATGGCTAATATTTTATCAGGGCCCTATTACTCTCCTGAAATGACAGTCATTGATAGAATACATTTTTAAATACTCATAAATATAATGTTTTACATGATATATGAATAGAGCCAACAAAAGGTACTTATCAAAAAAATTTTTTAAATCAATGTATAAATATTAACACAAAATATAGCAGAATATATTTTTTAAAAACATCATCCTTCCCATACACACCCACATTTTTTAAGGGGTTATACACCCTGGGTTGAAACTCTTTACATAAAGAATGCTACTAATCACAATGAAGATAAAAATATAAAGCTCTTATTAGAAGTTTGCAGTCAGAAAAGAAGCTTGCTATTATAAGCACATGAGAAGATAACATACCTGCGGAAGTATGCAGTTCTGTGTGTGTACGTAGCATTGTATAATTTTTCATGTTAATTTCTCTGGGAAACTGACAATGCACTCTCCAGTGTCTCCAGTGGTAGCACAAGCCCCTCTATGAAATTTGTGCAGCTAAAGCCCTCCCCACCAGCTGAACCATTCCTAGTCTGCTCCTAGGTTTGTCTCTGTCTCTGTTGAAAATTTCTTTTGTTTTTTATTCCTGAATAGGCCACATTTTTAAGACTTTCTCCATTCTTAATTCTCTTCACACCTTCTCCTCTCCAAAATAGCTACATTTCTTCTTGAAGTGAAAGTGCTCAGGATTTATTCCGATGCTATCGTTAACACCTCATAGGTAAGACTCTGAGAAGCCTTACGCATGTTATCCTTTTTCTGGACATGCTAGGGAGATGATCTCCCTTTCTGATTGCTTAGTATCAGAGAAAGGACAGGTTTCAATTTGGAGAAAAGGGAACAGTGATTTCATTGAGAGAGTAGCCAAAACTGAAAAGCACTCAAGTATTACAAAATCACTATTATCTTCTTCTAGACATAATAACAACATGATCTTTTTCTGGCAACAGATTTGTGAACATGCCTTGACATTTTCCCTACATAGAGAAACTCATGCTTTTCATACCCTAAAGCTAAGAAGAATATGAGAAAGAACAAAATGACAAACATTAAGGGTAATATCAATTGCCTACAGGGAAGGAAGAAATGTGGCCTTTGGTCAAAAACTTCAAAATGGAAGAAAAAGGGTCTGGATCATTTGGCTAGATTTGCTTCTAAATCTTTCAGGAATTTAAGCAAGATAATTTATACTTTCTTTGTTCCTTTTAAAAGCAGTTGTCTTCGTGGTTAACTTAATCATTTGCCTGTTTCCAAAAAAAAAAAAAAAAAAAAAAAAAATAGATGCCATTCATTAAAAAAGAAAG